GTCCGGGCTCCACTCGGACCTCGTGTGCAGAAAACATCCAGTCAGAAGCGGGTTGAGTTCTGTTTGAGTTTTTAATACTGTCTGTCTTTTTAATATCAAGAATGACCCGCTCTTATTAATAACGCTAGCAGTCCCACCCGCTGAAAGCTGCATGGAAAAAGCTAAAATAACCAGCGAAATGTTTCATACTGGCTCTTGGCACAGGAGAACACCATCTTCTATAAAACAAAGTATATGTTTCAGTCCTGTTTTTTTTTTTTTTTTTTTTTTACATACTTTTACACTTCTTCTGCTGTTTAAAAAATCTTTCTTTCCGCTATTACCACAAACAAGCTAGCAGCTTGGATCTGATTTTATTAGCTCTACGTTATCAGTTTGCTGTCGTGACTCTAGCGAAAAGCACTGAACGCGCACTGTTCGGTACAAAAAAATGTATTATTATTTTAAACCTTTTATCAGCTTATGTAGTCTCTACAACCAATGAATTGCTGATCTCTAGTGATGTAGGCCTATAATTTTTGTAATAGATCATTTGTTGGTAAAGCGTGAGAGATCTGGCGAGCCACATGATTTTTGTCAAAGCCATAGGTTCCCGACCCCTGTAGTGAAGATAATCAGAGTATATGTGCACATATGACCTAAACCACATATTAATATGTTTTATATTTTTAAAATGAAAGCGAAATGGGTTGTGTTTTATATTTTGAAGAAAACGACAAGGCAGTGGTGCTTGATATCATTTCGTTTTATTGTAATGCGTGTACTCGTTGCATGAACCACATTTTTGTGAGCCTATATTTTAAATGAAATAGAAAAGAGGCAATGCTGTTTGATATAATATTTCGTTTCACTGTAATGGATGTCGTTCCCTCAACATAGCATCTCGAAGCCATGACATAACCCAGCAAAAATTTGGACGTTTAATGACAATGGCATTTTCTCTACATTTTTAAATTTATATTAAGCAGCCATTAATCAAACAAGAAAATAACAAAAGTACAGGAGCACAGTGAATACATATGTAACAATTTTTAGAGTCTTTAAAAAAAAAAAAAAAAAAAATTTTCCAAATGTTTACTCTCATTTTCTTGGTGCACAAACACCAGCTCTTCCAAGAGTGAGATTCATGTGTTCCACCATTGATGCATGGAAGTCAGAGCTGTGGCAGTACTAATCCCCCCCCCATTTTTAACAGTCTTGCATTATTGTTAAACAGCCATAAATCAAACAAGTAAACAACAAAAATACTGGATAATGGTTAACACGTGTAAATGTTTTTAGAGTTTGTGAAAGTTGTTTATGGCAATGTTTTTATATCCACAAGCCCCAGCACTTCCTGGAGTGTGCTTCAGGTGTTCTGGCATTGCTGCATCCATGTCTGAGTCTGTATCATTTGGGCTTCACCTCTTCACAGCATCTGAGGAAAGAGAACATGAATATTTTTAAAAAATAATAATAATAATAATAATAATAATAAAATCAACAATAACATGCACCTGCTTATTTTGAAAATGTCTTTATGGTCCTACAACTAAATTTAAAATACAATGGAACAAGATTTTGCGTCCGTTTCATAAATGAAGCATTAGAAAAAGGTAATCAACATGCAGTGGTAAAGGGTAACAATAAAAATGATATAAATAATAGACAAGGAACAAGAGATTTTTTGAATGTCATAAGGCCAAAATTACCTTGAATCACATAGTATAAAGACAGCATTTTTACACAAGTGCCTAATACTTTTAACAGTACTGTAGCTTTGCAGGTAGGTTTCTTGAAACATCTTGGAGACGTTGCTACAGTTCTTCTGGATTTAGTCTGTCTCAGTTTGTTCTGTTTCTTCACGTCATTGCAGACAGACTGGATGATGATCAGATCAGATCTCACAGCCGCCTGGACATGATTCTGTTAAAGAAATTACTCAGGATTACTTCACCTCAGAAAAATTTCCACACAAGCTCAATATTACAATTAACAGTAATGTGCAGCGTGGCGATTGTATGCTATGTTAAAACATACACTTTCACAACCACTCATCTATCATGTAACAAGTGCATGAACTAAGTTCTTATCCATATCCGCAGTTTTTGTGACAAGTATTGACTGACAATCATGGCTTACACTGAAATTATGTTTATTATGGCGTAGCCATCATTTCAGAAGTGAAGGGGACAGAAATGTAAAATGTAATAATACCTTTTTTTCTTTGTTCTAACAGGTTTTATTTACTTTTCTTACTTTTAATTGGCTAAGAAATCAAATAAACTGCTGGACAATAACCAATAATTTATATTCTGTAATTTTTTTACCTATATTTTCCTAATGTCAATTTTATTATTTGTTCATATACCACACCCCATTTTTATCACAGAATAAGGTAGAAAATATATTTTATAGTTTCTATAGCCTACTGTAATAAATGCTATGTCAGTTAGCACTGCATTATTCAGATACTTTGTGTATTACACGGAGATGACTTGAAAAACAGAAATAAACCATATATTGTCCTAATCGTGCATGTATCGTCTTCACGTTTTTTTTTATTCAGCAATAGCGGGATGCCTTTGCCCAAATTAGGGATTTCCTGGCTGGCATGTCATAAGTACTTCTATGGTCAGTTTTGGACTTTCTGCTCGAGAGCGCCCTCAGGCTTTGGGTATGAATAAAACATACACTGCATGTTCATATTTCCTCGTTTTGGATACGAATAAAATGCCAGGTCATGCATAGACTGTCTTTTCTCTTTGAATTTAAATCTAGATTTATTCACACTGGCCCTACTTTTAGCCTACTAACGTTAGCTAATTTTAGCCAAACTCAAACTACATTTCTGTTGACAATGTGCGCATTTCTTTCGGTTCCTTCGTGTCGAACAAGTAAAACTCAACCACATTTTTTTTAATAATTCGTCGACTTTCGCAATAAAACAAAGCGCCCTCCTCAAGTCCTCTCCTTGTGTTTGAAGAAACGGAAAATGCAAGTAGGTATAACTGCAGATCGGAGATCTCCAAAATAAACCGTCTTAGCAGCAGAAAAATCTTGGTCAGCAGAGTTTTGGAAATTCACATAAAACTCAAACTTGGAAATTCACATAAAACTCAGACTTGAAATGGTAACTGGATATATATATGTTACATATGTATATGCATAAATTTAATAAAAAAATCTAATAAAATCGTGTCGTAATGTAGGGAAAACGGGTTATTTCAAACGTAATAAACACTTTTATATCACTTCCGCCAACTGTTATACGCGGAAGCCGTTCCGGTGGATGACGTAGCACGTCGGCGTTGCGTGATAAGTGACGAACGTGGAGAGACAACAAAACAAACGTCTTCCGCCGGAATGCCTTCCGTGTATGACAGTTGGCGGAAGTGATATAAAAGTGTTTATTACATTTGATATTTTTCTTACAAGAACGCATGGATTCACTACAGAAGGCCTTTATTCAGCCCCCGGAGCCGTGTGAGGCACATTTTATTATGAATGCGTGCGCTTTATTTGACGACTTGTGGACTGTTCAACTGCAACACCCGCTGACTGCAATGATAGAGCTTGGAATAGCCAGG